AGAGAGAAAAAGACAAAAGGCCTGTTATAATCCATGTCACTGAGTGGTCTCCTTGTCCATTCAATTAGCAATAAATAATTTTAATAAAACTACAATAAAAATGAAGTCTAAAGTGAAATAACATATATGTAAACTTATATAAGAAACAATGGGAAAGAATACACAGAATTCCAGGAATGAGTATGTTAATTTTTACTGTATATTTTTTCTGTAGCATTTGACTTCTCACAATAATATTTTTATGTATTCATTGAATGGTATCAAATTTAATTTGTGAAACACATCAGTTCAAGTCAGGAAGATCTAAGATTCAATATCATATTAGTTGGTTAGTGTGACTCAGAAAACTTGAGTTGACCATGTTTCTGTCGTACCATCTCTTTTATTCATTTGGGGCCTGTTTTGAAGACATTCATTTCATGACAAAATATTTATTATTAATGATATTACATTATTTTTGACAATTTCAATAACTGCAAAAATCTAAATTCACACAACCTTTTGATTTTGGTTTAATGTCAGTATTTAGTTCAGTTACAGTGGCTTAGTGACCTCTAGTGTCCACTTTAAAAAGTGCTATTTTTGTTACATAGCCCAAATATTTTTACTACTATCCAATGAAGACATAACCATCCCTTTGAACTTTGTCCAGCACTGCAGCTATCTCAACAAAAAGAATGGAGAGAAAGTGATGCAGCTTAACTTCCCAGGCTCTGCAAGAAATGACAGCACATCCTCTCTCTGCCTCTGTATCTGCCTCTGAGCTTTTCTCTGTCTGTCTCTTCCCTCTCACTACAACTCACACCTTACGGACTCAGTCCAGATCCCTGTTCTGAACCTGAAATTCCCACAATAAAAGGCCACTTGTGGGAGAGACAAAAAGGTATGCCTGAGAGGTCCTAGTTCTTCCAGTCTTCCCGCTGTTTGAGTCTTTTGTGCCATCTCTAGATGCTGAGTGAGATTTCCAGATGATCACAGCCTCAGCCTCCACAAGAAAGTCACCTCCTTAGAGACCCTGCAGAGGAAACACACAGCTGAGCCCAGCTGACTCCAAGTCTGTGAGAGATGAGAGTTAAATAATTATTGTTCTGTTAAGGTCTTACATTTAAAGATGATTTGTTATGCAGTAGGAGCAATATTTCTACATTTTCAAATATATATTTGCAATAAAAACAAATATATCATCTACCTAAAATTGGAATTGTAATATTAAGTTTTAAGAATGACTGTAAGCCAGATAAAAGAATTATCACAGCACTGTTGAAATGACAGTGTCTATACTAGAATAAGCTAACTCCCAGGCACTTTAAAGGATAAAGTCATTGATGTTGGAAAGCACTCTACACAGTTGCATGTGTAACAAAATCTAACTTACACTAATTATTATCATTATTGAACACAAAAGTTTTCAAAATAATTTAATTAGTAGAATTCTGATGTGAAGCCAATTGGTCCCAGACTTTTCTTTTTGGGGAGATTTCGTATAGTTGATGCTATTTCAGTGATTGATAGAGGAAGGTGACGTGCTTCTGAGTATTGATCCATTTCCTTCATATTTTTCATATTTCTGAGAATAGAGTTTTCTGTAGTAATCATTGAGGATTTTTTGAATTTGTGAAGTGTCTGTTATTATTTCTCCTTTACCATTTCTGATTGACAATAGAGATTTTACTTTTCTGTTTCTGGTTAGGTTAGCTAAAGTTTTATCAATTTTATTAAACTTTTCAAAAATAAACATTTGTTTCATTGATCTTCTGAATGATTCTTTTGATTTCAATTTTATCTAATTCAGCCCTAATTTTAGTTATTTCTTTTCCTCTTTTCTTCTGCTGAGTTTGGAGTTGGAATATTTCTAATAAAAATGAAATAACACCACTTACTATTTCAATGTGTGGGAATTAAATTTATGATATAAACTAAAACTGATCAAGTATAACTTCTGGGCCAAATCTGGCCTCCCATTTAAAATCATTGAGATAAGAAGGTAAACAAAAGTCAGCACCTTAACCCCATGTGTGACCTGCTGGCCTGTAACACAATTGTGATGCTGAGTCACTGTCACCACTTCCTAGGTGAGAGCCCTTGCCACCCCGAAATGAGGCCTGTGCTTCTCAGGCAGTCGCCCCACCCCCTCTGTCCTCCAACCCTGGTATCCCGGGCTTATGTAGGCCCCTCACTGTAGCCTATAAGGTAGTGCAAAAAATAAAGCCCAATAAAATAAAAACTGCAAAGGCATACAGGTTTATAACGTCAGTGAGGTCATACAGGTTTATAACATCAGTGAGGTCATACAGGTTTATAACATCAGTCAGTTCATACAGGTTTATAAC